TTTTTTTTTTCAACGTTTATTTATTTTTGGGACAGAGAGAGACAGAGCATGAACGGGGGAGGGGCAGAGAGAGAGGGAGACACAGAATCGGAAACCGGCTCCAGGCTCCGAGCCATCAGCCCAGAGCCTGACGCGGGGCTCGAACTCACGGTCCGCGAGATCGTGACCTGGCTGAAGTCGGACGCTCAACCGACTGCGCCACCCAGGCGCCCCGATGTGTAAGAGCTTTTTATGTGGTACAGAAAACAGTCCATTTATAGATCAGTGTTCCAAATAATTTCTTCTTTCTTATTCTTAGTTTTATTTACAGATTTTACTGCCATATAATAATAGGTTTTGTGTAGTCAAATTTATAAATCTTCTACTACTTTATAGCTTATAAGTTATACTAAAATGTTTTTCCCTATGCTAAGAATTTTAAAAAGGAAAGCTCTTCCAAGTTTTCTCATACTTGGTTTCAATTCTTATGGTCACACTTTTTTTGTTTTTTTTATTTTTTTTTATTTTTTTTTTTACACATTTATTTATTTTTGAGAGACAGAGAGAGACAGCATGAGCAGGGGAGGAGCAGAGAGAGATGGAGACAGAATCAGAAGCAGGCTCCAGGGTCCGAGCTGTCAGCACAGAGCCCGATGCGGGGCCCGAACCCATGAACCGTGAGATCATGACCTGAGCCGAAGTCGGACACTTAACCGACTGAGCCACACAGGCACCCCATGGTCATACTTTTTTTTTAATGTTTAGTTTTGAGAGAGAGAGAGTGCGAGCAGCGGAGGGGCAGAGAGAGAGGGAGATACAGAATCCAAAGCAGGCTCCAGCTCTGAGCTGTCAGCACAGAGCCTGTCAATTCTTATGTTCACATTTTGATCCATCTGAAATTTATTTAGATATAAGGAATAAGGAAGCAACCTAAATATGTCACACATGCACAGGTATATACAGCTTCCTCTCCCTTCCTCCCTGCAAATGTGGCTGTTAAGTTACTTCTACATTATTTATTGAATAATCCATCCTCTTGCCCATTGATTTGAAATCTCACTGTTATCATATCCTATACTCCTATATGATTATGGTCTATACTTGGGTTCTCTATTTTATCCTTTGTCTATCCTGTACTGGTACGTGTTTTATCACTATAGATTTACAGTATATCTGGTAAGGTATAACCCCACCTTCGGCACTCTTTCTTTTCAGTTTTCTTGGCTATTCTTGAGAGTTCATTTTTCCAGATAAATGCAGTAAAGCTGTATTGAGATCCAAAGTGAATTCCAGTAGATTTTTTGTTTGCTTGTTTGTTTGGTTTTTAAAGTTTATTCATGTTGAGAGACAGAGGAGAATGAGCAGGGGAGGGGCAGAGAAAGAGGGAGAGACAGAGAATCCCAAGAAGGCTCAATGCTGTCAACCCAGACCCTGATGGCTTGATCTTATCAACAGGGAGATCATGACCTCAGCCCAAATCAAGAGTCAGATGCTTAACCAACTGAGCCACCCAGGTGCCCCAAATTCCAGTAGATTTTGAGACTACATTACCTTCTTAAGTACTATATTAACAATATTGAGTCTAACTATTGTTAATAAAGAAACAGCTTTACATATATTCAATTTCTGTTAAATCCTTCAGTAAAGTTTTAAAGTTTTTTTCACATGGGTCCTGCACATTTCATTTTACGTTCATTCCCTGGCACATTATCCCTTTTCTGTTGTTGAAAATAAGATCTCTTTTATTCTACCTCTTAATATCTATAAATAAACTGTTGATTTTTTTCAAGTACACTTTAAAAAAGATTTCTATTTTACTATAAAATGATCAATGTTACCAAGCTCCATAACTTTTGTTAAGTAATACACACACACAACAAAAAGTCAAATAGTACAGAATTATAAAAGCAATAATCCTGAGCTTTGCTCCATCCCTACCTTTGGTCCCCTTTCCAGAAGCAATTTTTAAGTATCCTCTTTAATTATTGTGGTGGTTACTTTCATAACTGTAAATAATATGAAAAGCTATTGATTTTATATATTAATTTTATGATCAATTACCTTGATAAATTCTCTTATTCTAAAAGATTTTATAGGAACACAATCATATTATTTGCAGTTAATGATCATTTATATCTCCTTTTTTTGATTTTCAACCTCTTATTGTTTTCTCTTGTCTAATTATATCGATTGGTACCTCTATAACAAGGTTTAAAAAATGCCATTAGTGGATATCATTGTCATATTTATGAAATTAATGGGAAGGGATGTAATAAGTACATACATAACTATGATTTTGATTTTTTTTTGAGGTATATATTTTGAATCACAATAGGGATATGTTAATAGTGTTTATCAATGATTGTCAAATATCTTTTTGGCACCCATTGGGAAGATTGTTTTTCTCTGACCCATTAATGTGATTAAGTATAGTAACAGATTTACTAACCTTGAAATATCCTTGCATTCCTGAAATAAACCCAACCTCTCTATGGTATATTATTCTTTTATTGTTCCACTGAATATATTACTAAGGTTTTTCACTATAAGGGAGATTAATCCATAATTTTTTTCCACCAGGATTTGCTATTGTCAGGTTTTGGTGTTAGTGTTTTTGTTGTTTTTGAAAAATAAATTTAGAAGCTTCCCCTATGTTATAGACGTATTGCCTGGAAGAGTTTAAATAGCATTGGAAATTACCTCTTCCTTGAAGATTTAACAGAATTCACCTATAAACCAATCTGTGCTTTGTGATTCTGGTGTCATCTCTGATCCAATTGTAAAAGAAGTGGATGCAATGTTTTATGTTTTTCTATTAAAAAGGTAAAACCAAAATCATATTAATGTGTATGTCTTTGACTTTTTTTCTCTAAGAATGAGCCCTTATTTTATCATAAACTTGGCACTGCTATAATCTTCACTTCTCATTCCCTACCTCATAAACACTCAGATAATGAATGTACCACAAGATGTATCTATCTCTAAATATCAGAATCGCAAGTAATATGTCACGTGTAGCCTAACCTCTTAAGCTTTACATTTGTTTGCCCAGCTGCCTACTATCTTTACTTAACATATTCTACAAACATTTCAGATTCAATACATTCTGCATTTAACTTACTATCTTCTCCCCCTTAAATCCCACTCATCTTCTGTGTTCCCCATATTACTAAATGGTGCCATCATCTACTCAGTTGCCAATCTAAAAATGTTTATTTCCCTCATTTTCCTTACTCCCCACATCCAATCAGTTACCATGCCCCATTCACTTCGGTTTTCGAAATAATTTTTACACACTGACCATTTCAACTGCCACCAGTGTAGTAGAGGCCACCATCATTTCTCATTCGTTTTCTGTAACAATATTCTAGCACGTCTCTAAGACTTAGTCACTCACCACAGTGCAGCCGGTGATTCCACTTCTAATCCTGTCCTTCCCAGATTAAAATTCCTAATGATTTTGCTCTGCCCTCAGGATAGAATTTAATCTCTTTACTATAATAGTCCCTTCCAGATTTAATCCCTCTTTGCCTCTCTGGCCTGACTGTTTGAGACACCCTCCTCCAAATTTATGCTCTATCCACACCAAATTATGTAGAGTTCCCGGATGGCATATAATGTATTACTCCTAGGTGTCTGTACGTGCTTTTTTTTTTTTTTCCTTTTTGGGTTTCTTTTCTCCTGTTCTCATCCTAAGGTCTTGACTTAGACATTACTTCCTGCAAGAAGTCTTCCTGAAACCCCTGGTCTTGGCTGGATCCTCCTCCTACGTTCCCAAGCACCCTCTCTATGGACCAGTTTGTTGGGGTCTTTTCTCTTTCAGTAGGCTACAAATTCCCTAGGGGCAGAAACTGTCTTATTCACAGTATGCACAGCACTTGACACAAAGTTTGGCACACAGTATGAGCTCACTAAATGTTTGCTGAGTGGATAAATGAATGCATGAACAAAGGTATGGGAATGCATTGTTAATTTGAAGGCAAAAATGGCACTACTGGCCTATCATTTTAGAATCCATCATATGATTTTGAATTTGTGTCTCCCAAGCCCTCTTACCTAGTCACCCCGTGACAACTAAAACTGGGGTGGTGTAGAACTGAACAGTAAGGAGATTTTTAAAAATTGCAACTCTGAGGTGTCTATACAAGAAGGAATCTAGGGAAGTTTCCTACAGTAAGAGCTACTTAATCACATTGACATCATAGGTGTCTTGATCATTACTCACTAAAGAAATGTGGTTCTCCGGAGAAATATTACTGAATTTGGCAAGAAACTTCTCAGCAGCGTTTCTCTTGGCTTGTTTTTTTGATGCCCCCTTTCCTAAATAATTAAAAAAAAAAAAAAAGTAGGTTTAGGAAAGAAATTAATGTCCACAGAGAATAATCAGATGTATAAAATATTGTTTTTGATGATTTTTATACACTATTCTTTTGCTGACCTGCCATCTTTGCTTGTTGTACCTCATACAACTGTTAATTCTTACATTTCTGAAGGCACTTCTTTGGCAGTTTATCTTTAATAAACTTTAACTATCTTTAATAGTTATACTTTGTGTTTGGAACAGTTCTATTTCCCTATGCCTAGCTTCAATGAATCTCATTTGGTTTAACTGTGACCAAGCATTCACATTTATCAAGGTACATTTGAATTGTAACTCTTATCTCTTGATGTCGACTTCTTGCTTGTAACCTTCTATACACTGACAACTGTGTGGAATTTTTTTAACATGAATAAAAAGGGCTTAGGGAAGATAACTGCAGTTGAAAGACATCATAAGTATCATCTACTTCCATCTTGTTATTTTATAGATTTAAAACGTGAGGCCCAGAGGGATTAGTGATAGGCCTACCTTTGCACACCAAGGACTGCATCAAGCATGGGAGCTGAAGTTCCCACTTCTGGTTCAGTGCTTTCTGCATTGGTCCACACTGCCTCTCAAGGGCAAACAGTTGCTTACTATTTGAAACTACTATCTAGCCAAGGTAAAATTTCATTTCATGCCATTTTAAGAATGATAGAAACAGGCTGCAGAAGTGAAAATAGGAACCCTCACTAGTGCTCTATTAAGAGACTTTTTCCTTGTAGTTTCTGGCCTTTACAACATGGAAGTTGCTAGCATTCAAAAGGATGATTTCTACTTTATTTTTATCTCACGCTAGTTTTTGCCACCTAGCCTCTTATTAATCATCTTGTCTTCAAATGTGATCTTCTTCTAGTCCTCCAATCTTCTACAATAGTTGTTGAAACTCCCAAGAGGTTCACTATTGCTTTTTTCTAAAATGATTTTTAAGTCACTAACACATCAGTGCAGACTGTGTAAAGGGTCAATTATTTGCTAGTTTCCATTACATGATTTTCCATGATTCTGAAAAATATCAAATTAATAAGTATAAGAATTCTTTAAAAAAAAATTTTTTTTAAGTGTTTATTTATTTTTGAAGGAGAGAGAGACAGAGTGTGAGCAGGGGAGGGGCAGAGAGAGAGAGGGAGACAGAGAATCCGAAGCAGGCTCCAGGCTCTGAGCTGTCAGCACAGAGCCCAGCACGGGGCTCGAACTCACAAACTGCGAGATCATGACCTGAGCTGATCATGATCGGATGCTTAACCGACTGAGCCACCCAGGCGCCCCTGAAGTATAAGAATTCTTAAGCCAAATATTTAACTTAAGTTCAATTGCAGAAAGAGACAGTAGAACAGGAGTGTATCAATTTTTCCCCACAGAAATATTTGAAAGGAAATCACAACAGAAATTTCTATAATCATTCATCATGTAAAAGTGTTTCAAATGTCTTCAGTTTTAAGAGAGTAAAAAGAAGTAACTACCAGTTTCCATAAATGACTCGAGCCTGCAAATTGTGGTATATTCTCTCTTGTGAGCAGGTCCTCCCTCTTGGGAAAGGGTATATTCAGGAAGTCTCCAGCCATGATGAATAGCCAATTCCTAGAAAGTGGAGATGCGGCTTTAGTAGTAATTTTTCTATGCAATGGCTTAATCACATAAACGATATTCTTTCATGATTTTGATCCCATTTCTAAGTTTGAAAGGAATAATGATATTCTGCAATGAAAAAATGGGGGAAGACCCTACATTCCCCATAAATACTCCAGCATTTTATATCTTGCAAGCCCACAATACTAAAACTGAAGCAGTTTACCGCTAGGATAGGAATGGTGTTCTTCCATTAAGCCATAGAGAGCCAATATCAAAGAGCTCATAGAGAAAGAGGAGCTACTATTGCCCTCTCGGGGAACATCAGTGAGGACATCTACAGGTCTCACTGTCATTCAGTTCCTAATGCCTCTCTTTCCTAGTTATAGACTTCCTGCCCACAGCTAGCTAACTACTGCATTGCAACAACAGCAAGATGAGCAGAGGCGGCAAACAGACAGACTTGGACAAAGCTGAGGAAAGATCAGGGGAGCACACTATGGAAAAACTCAGACAGCAAGAAAGGGACCAAAGGACTGGCTGGGTAATAGGGAGGGGAGCTGTCCAACAGAGCACATGGATAATCTGCAAGAAGGATATTCCGCATGCAGAAATTCAAAGCTGAGGTTTTTTGTTTGTTTGTTTGTTTTATAGAATAAGCAAATAAACTACTTCCCCTTTCTTGGGTTAGGCTACCCGATTTGGGTTCTTTATAAAGTCTTCTGTTCTAAACAGAAGTAGAAAGAGGTTTGTCACAAGAGTGGCAAGAAATATTCTTAAAGTATAAAACACTCTACCCATGTGCACTGAGGTCCTGTTGATCTCAAATGAGAATTCCACAAACCAAAGGCAGATACTGTATATGGAAGAAAATCCAAAACGTAAATAAATAGGAAAATAATTTCAAGTTAGTGCTGTAATATCTAATGATCACAACTGGGAATACAAAATATCATGCCATCTTATCTCTAAAATATTTATTCCTTATTTCAGCCCTTGTGATATCATCAATACATGACATCTTTCTTCAATAGACAACATGTTAAGTAAGGAAAAACTGTGCAACGTACCTGTAATGAACCAATAGGATTAAGCTGGTTCTTTGGTTGCTTAGAAGGGTCGGGCATTAAGGGGTCAGGAACTGCAAAGCTAAACATTTTTTTAAAGTGTTATAAAACAAAATACTTTTCCCCAAACTATTAAATAAATGACAAGCATTTCCTATTTAATCCTCTATGCCTTTGCTCTTGCTTCTTCATGGAATGCTTTTCTTTCCCACCTGAATGAGAACATGATTTATCTATTATCCGAGATATATCTCAAATGCCACTTCCACTAAGAAACCTATCCTGTTACTCCAATGAAACATAATCTCTCCCTCCTTAGAACTGTTGACATTTGGGTTGACCCTTTCTTAGGCAAATTATATGACCATAAATTATACTCTTACAAATACATGTAATTTGTCCATCCCTCACCACACCTCTCCTGTGTTCAGACTGTCAAATCCTTGATGGTAGGGCCTACGGATTACTTACCTTCATAAGCCTTGTAGTGCTTTGTATATTATGTGTTCAATAAAAATGTATTTAAATAAAGCATACTAATGTTACAGCCACAAAAAGGGAAGACTAACAATTAGGCAATTTAGCCTGGTAAGGTGAATGATACAGGTCATAAAGTTGTTTTTTCCCCTCATATAATTATGGAAGAAAGATTTGTTTGATATATCATCTGCTCTATGCTAGAATGATCCTCCTAAGACTTACATATATCCTGCATAAAATAGATGGCCTGCATGAATCTGGTTCCAGCATGTGGGGACTGTAATTAGGGAAAAAGAGAACAATCTCTTCTAACTAGTTTAAATTTACTAGTTAGTTGGGGGATGAGTGTGTAACACTGAATAAAGCTGCATTCAAGGTTACTATCACCTACAAGGCTGAAGAGTCATTTCTTTGGTGACAAAAAAGGTTCAGTTATTGGCACTTCTTCAAGTTTCCTTTCCACCTGCCAGAACTTCAAGCTTTACATAGGCTGATGAGATATGAATATTCACTTACAATGCTGCACGCCGAAGCTACCCAAATAATTGTGATGGAGAAGTGAGAAAGTCTCTGTATTAAATCAGGCCACTTTAGCCCTGATTACAGCTTAGTAATTCCCATCTTATCTGTCAAGAAGCACAAATATATAGTAAAGTTTGTTAGCCTTTTTTGCTGACAAAGCGAAGTGCCCATGTGCAGAAAGGACACTACGTACACTCATTTCTACAAATGTACTCAACACTTTGGGTTGACCTTTGGACTGCACAGAAATAGCATGGTCACCACCAGCGAGGGGAGAATCCAATACCTGCCATGGCATTTGGCATGTCTAGAAAGCCAGCATAAATCAACTATAACATATGACCCCAAAGAATCAAGAATCATTTTGTGAGATCTGAAGTTTGTCAATGCTTCATTCTAAACTACTCAAATGGTCTGGAAGAGCTTAGAAATGGGAGGAGCACTGCATGAGGACCTAAGTACGTGCTAAAGCAAAAGTTTTGAGGCTGGAGAAAAACTCATCCTAAATTCCCATGGGCCTCTGCTGTCAACTATGAGCAGATAAACCAGACTGAACTCCAAGAATAACTGAGTGCACGTAAAGAGAATCTGAAGGCTCAGCATGCCCCAGGACGTGTCCATCAGAAACCAAAGGACATCATCCAATGATACATGAGATGCTCCGGGACCAATACTCTCCAAAAGCACCTGAAGTGATAACACAAATTCATTTTGGAAAAATCATGCCAAGAATTAACATCCCCCTTAACATCTTCTTGTATTTGTTATACATTCCATAATAAAAGGAAATCTCTTTGTCTCCTTCTAAATTAGAATTCCTAAGAGTATTTTCCACTGATCTTTTTCTACTTCATTCCTTGTTTTCTGTAGTACAGAAGTTATTAAAGTCTTAATACAGTAAGATACTCGCCAGAAAAACTGGGGTTTTGTATTGTCGCATCCCAGTGAGGGGGGAAAACGCCTAGTTCACGAGAGCTTTCATTTAACAGTTAATTGGTGGAGTGAATTTCTTAAGGATAAAGTTGTCTTTAATGGTGACAAGTTTTCACAAGGAAATAGAATTTTAGAGCTAAATACTAACAGCCGTTGACTTTGTTGCTTTTGTGACCATGTTCAAAATTTTAATCTTACCTCAGCCACGATATTTTTGAGCTGCAGAATACAAAGAAATTTAGCTCACCAAATACTTGCATTGGCTTTCAAAATGTTTATGGCAGCCTCTGCAGCTCTATGTTTCGCCAGCTTCTTACTTGTACCTTCACCTGAATTAAGGTTAAGAAAAAAATGTTTTTATATGCTGTGAAAATATGAGGCTTGCATAGCTGTTTGCATAATGCAAAACAAAGTCAGTACAGTTTTTGTATATATACACGCAGGTAATAAAAACATACTACATACTGTAACAAAATATTCACCATATGAAATTAATATATGAAAAACCCATGATTTTAAACATTTTACCTATTTAACTTTATGAATCCCTATATTAAAAAAAATCTGTATATGTTTATTACATAAAATGGTAATGAAGTAGGCCATGCCACACTTTATGAAAAATACAACTTAGTATTTTACTTTTCCTTATTCCTAGAGAGAGAGGAAATTCTTCTGTAGCAAGAAGTTTTCTTCAAAGGAGCAGAGCTACTTATATCAACCCTATTTGACAGCAAAATGTACACAATTTTATTCTAATCATCCATCCTATACTGGATTAAAGCCCTGACTGGCTAAGCAGTCCTAGATACATGTTGGGTACAGTGGGAGAAGGTTTATACAGGTAAGATGAGAATTTATGTTATGTGTCTTTGATATAATCTGTATCTCTTAGTAGTCAATGGGGTGGCAGGGGGTAGGCCTGACTAATCACTGAAATTGAAGCCTAATTTCAGTAAGAAATCACACCTGCTAAATAGTAAATCCAACTAATTTCCTTCTGAGTTCAAACTAGGTGTTGAGAACCCTTCAAAAGTGGTACCAAAGTGCTGATGTCCATTTCTTCACTGTGGAAGAAAGAAAAGGGATATGGAATGAATTTCAACTGTGACTCTCAAATGTCTGAGGACATACAACCCATATGCCTTTATCCACTAACATAGTTATGAGGGATACGGTGGAATATGAAACAGAATCCCTGCCCTCAAAGAGCACACAGCCCAGTATGGGATTTCGCCTGTAAATACGAATCTGAAATACAGTCGTATGTGTTACAACAAGCCTAAGTGCAGGCTGGAGGGGAAGCACACAAAAGGGGTAGCTCCTCTACTTGGGAAGGATTCAGAAAGTTTTCATGCAGGAAGAGAGAACTCAATGAGGACATAAAAGATTAGTAAAAGCTAGTAATGTGAAGAAAGTTGGGGGTTAGGAAGAGTATTCTAGGCAGAGAAAAGAACACCTGCAAAGGTTCAGAGGCGAAACAGAGCATGGTGTTCTCAAGAGCTCCAATCAGTTGGTAGGTGAATGCTTAAGGAGATGAGTTTTGAGATGAAAGGCTACAGAGTTGGAGGGTAGGAAGGAGATCAAAGAACAGTCTCCGAAATCTGTGCTTCTCAAACTTTAATGTCCCTAGTAATTGCCTGGGAATTTTGTTAAAATGCAGACTCTGATCCAGCAGGTCTGGCATGGGGCCTGATATTCTAGAGCAGTTGCTTCAAGTGCCCAGGTGATACTAATGTTGCTGCTGATCACACATTTTGAGAAGCAAGGCTGTTAAGTCCTATTAAGAAACCTGTATCTATCCAGAGGATGATGGGCAAACCACCGAATGGATTTTAACAGCAAGAAGGACACAAAAAGATTTGAATGCCAGTGTCCTTTGAGGAATGGACAGCCTGAGACTGGAAGCTGAGAGAGCAACTGTGAGATAGCAGCTGTGGCCCAAGTGCGCGAAGACAGCGGCCGAGACACCAGCAATGAAAACAAAAGGGAAGGAGGCAGGTACCAGAGACGCTTAGGAAGTAAGACTTAGTGGAAGAGTGGCCAAGAGGCAGAGGGATGGGAAGGAGTCAAGAAAATGAAACCCAACACTCTACTATGAGCGAATGGGTGATGGTGGTACCTTTACTGAGCTAGGGAATAGAGGTGGAATAGATCTAAAGGAAAAGAGATGGATTCAGTCTGGGCCATCCAAGTGAAGATGCCCAGCAAGCACAGGTTGGATGACTGTTCTGTAACTGGGGCTGGGTTGAAGACGGATTTCAGAATTATCAACCTTTAGATAGTATTTGAAGCTGTGGAGGCACATAAACTTGCATAGGAAGACAGGGCAGTGTGGGGAGAGTAGGGGACCTACACAGAATAGTTGGTTGCCATAGGCTGTTAATCTTAAAGGGAAAAAGACCATTTCTTTTCTTAAATTTTCGCTGAATATTTAAAAATAGATCTGCTAAAGGAGGAATGTGATGATTGTATGGTTCATAATGAGTAAACTTGTAGCTGGCATTTACAATCCACCTGTCTCATATAGACAAAAAAGCCTCAAGATTTTCTTAAAGCAGTTTCAAGGAAAATAGTGGATTCCAGATTTTCAGGGACCTAAGCAAATGATGCCTTTCATTTACCAGATGGTGCAACTCCAGCCTTCTTGTGGAATTGTTTTCTTAGCATTCTTCCAAATTTAGTATTCAATATTTTTTGTGTTTGCAATTAAATATACATAAGAAATAGAATGCCTACATTTACAAATGGGCAACTTCAGTTATCATTTGTTCAAGCTCACAGACCATAATAAGGGGAGTCTGAACTCTGAAACTTCATTGCTATGTGACTTTGGGCATGTTACTGATAATCTCTCTGAATCCGTTTCCTCATGTATAAAAAGGGAGATGAGGGGCGCCTGGGTGGCACAGTCGGTTAAGCGTCCGACTTCAGCCAGGTCACGATCTCGCGGTCCGTGAGTTCGAGCCCCGTGTCAGGCTCTGGGCTGATGGCTCAGAGCCTGGAGCCTGTTTCCAATTCTGTGTCTCCCTCTCTCTCTGCCCCTCCCCCGTTCATGCTCTGTCTCTCTCTGTCCCAAAAATAAATAAATGTTGAAAAAAAAAAATTTAAAAAGGAAGATGAGGGGCACCTGGGTGGCTCAGTCAGTTAAGCCTCCCACTTTGGCTCAGGTTGTGATCTCATAGTTCCTGGGTTCGAGCCCTGCATTGGGGGCACATCGGGCTCTGTGTTGACAGCTCGGAGCCTGGAGCCTACTTCAGATTCTGTGTCTTCCTCTCTCTCTCTGCCTCTCCCCTGCTCGTGCTCTTTCTCAAAAATAAAATAAACATGAAAAAAACTGAAAAAAAAAGATGACATCTTACTAAAACCTGTACAGGGTCAGGAACTAGAAGGTGCTATGAAATGCGGTATTTGAGGCTTCTGTCTTCCTCATTTTGTTTGGATACAGAATCAAGTGTGGTACAAGGGGCCTAAAGTCCCAGATGGTCACTATGGACAAAGAGAAGAGGCTCAGAATATTTTGGGATCAGGTCTCTTGGCATCTGCTATAATCTATGATACTATGAAACTTGTCAGCACCTACTGACCCAGCTATGGTTGCTCCAAAAACCTTTCCTGCTTCTAATTCTTGGAAGAACTGTAGGAGGATCCTAAGGTATGTTTCTAAGCTTCTCTTGGTGTCTGGAGAGGAGAAAATGAAGGAGAGAATCAGATGAAGTTGGAAAGTCCCCATGACCTGAGATGAGAGGTCTCAGTTTCAAGAGCCTGCTCCTCACAGCTGTCCCTGGTTTAAAAAGGGCACTTTTCCGAACTGAAAAGCAATACCAAGTCTTGCCGGCCAACCCACATGGTCATCGGGGTTAACTGAGCACACAGACCTGTGCAGGTTATGTCACCAACGGTTACTCTGAAGGTGAAAGTGGGTACGTGTATTTGCACATCGGATCTTTCACATTCATAAACCGGGATGTTCTTGGTCTTCATGCCGTATTCGTGTAATACTTGAATCGGTGTTTTCCCTGGCTTAGCTGTAATCATCTTCCCCAAACTGCAAAAACCAGAAAAGGTGTGCCTTGCATGCCAAAGCGGAGAGGGAAGCAGAAGCATACAGAGGCTAGATTTGACTGCTACCAACAGTGATGCAGGAGGCGCCGAAGCTCCCCTGCGGCCAGCACCAGCGATGGCGAAGCGCACCAGTCTCCCAGCCCCGCTGCGGCGGGCAACCGGCAGGGTGAAAGGGGCTGTAAGGAGACAACTTAAAAGCGGGTGGGGAGGATTCGCTCGGGTCTTGGGTGCTGTTACCGCTCAGGACCAACCCCACATAAACCCCCTCCCGGGCGGCAGCCGCGGGCCATCTCCGCCCACCCCGCGCGCGCACCGAGACCGCAAGCGGGGCGGGGCCAGGCCGCAGACCCCGGCCCGCGCGCCGCCGGGAGGGCGGAGCCGAGTGCTAGCGGGTCCGCCCGCAGCCGCGCGGGCGAAAGCGCCGGGAGGGAGCTCTACCCAGAATGCCGCTGGAAAGCGGGCTCTCCCGCCCCGCCTCTTGTGCCCACCACTCCCGGCCCTGCCCGGCTCGGCCCCGACCGTTCGGGCGCTGACCTGAAGGTCCCGCTGTCCTCCCGCTCCAGCGGCGGGGCCGCAGCCCGATGCCTGCTCTGGGACATAGCGAAGAAAGGACGGTCTGGCGGCAGGCGGAAGAGCGGTGCCGAGCGACGTCCTCGCTCCCCGGGTCAGCCGGTCCCCGAGAGGAGCGCTCCAGCGGTGCCGCCTCCTCCGACTCCCCCTTCCCTCCCGGCTTGCGTCCCTCTTGCGAAGGGGAGGGGCGAAGGCGGAGCCTCGGTGCAGCAGCGCCGGCCACGCCCCCTCGCTGTCTGGGCTGCGGGTCTTACTCTAAGGTGGGCCCCGCCTGCCGATTCGCGGGTCTCCTGGGCGTCCTTCCCGCCCCTTTTCTTTCAGACTCCGCCCCTCTCTCGGTCCCGCTCTGTCCCGCTCGCTCCCGCCGGTACCCTGCTGTAGTCCCGCGGCTCCCGGGTTCTCGTTTCTCCGCTCCCCCCATGGCCTTGAGGAGGCCGCAGTTTTGTGTCCTTAAACAGGCGGTTTCCGGCCCGGAGAGGCGGCTTGTCGGTCGGCGAGCCTCACACTGTGTGAGGACTGAGCTCAGCATTCTTGGTGGTGGGGCTGGGGGAAGTTAAGAATTGTGGTTGCGTCACCTTATGAAAAAGATTTCCAAATTCTAAATGCAAAATTGCTACGGAGCGTCCCCGGGCCTGGCCCCTAAGCTTGCGATTCGCGGTCTATCCGCCCCTGAGGGCTTCGGTGGGCTCTCCCGATTCGAGGCCTGCCTGGAGGAGCTTTCAGGAATGTCCGGAGACCCCCTCCCGCCGGGTAGTCTCCATTGTCTCTAGGCTTTCGTCTGGAGAGGAATGCGGGGCTGGCGAATTTGAGCAAGGCCCGTTAGGTGTAAACGAAGGCTTTTGTGTGGGCTCCTATTAAATGCTGTTTCTGCACACCTGTGTTGCTAGTCGTAATTGCGATCGCCTGGGATGCACCGCCTTTGGTGGAGATCAGAGAGCGACGGTGGAAGTGTCGCTTAGGGGTTTGCTAGGCACTTGGGAAATGACTCCCTGTGCTTTCTCTGTGTTGAAGATTGCACTATGCTTTTCACACAAAGGGACATTATTAAAAACTTTTTCTTTTTGGTTTTGTTGGGTTTTTGTTTGTTTTTTGGTTACATGTGAGCCCTGGATGCTTGAAAGCAAATGAAAAGTGTTTAGGATCTAATCAAATTGATTTATATTATTTGAGGCTTGAATTAAGTCTATTCTGTCTTCCACTATCCCCTCTGTATATGTATGTATAGCGATTACTACTACTGTTAGGTTTTAATGAGTATCTTACCATAAATATACATAGCCACTATTTCAAAATATATTAACATCCCCAAAATTAGGTCAATACAATATTTCAGCACTCAGATTTGTTCCTAAAACTTATTTTTCGCCATGATATCCTAAGCCCAAACTTTATTCAGCTCTCTTTAAGGGTTGAGTAACAGATAATGATGATGAAACAAAATAAACGCAGTGCTATTTCAGAGTTGTCTATGTGCCAGCCACAGAGTGAGAAACCCCTAAGTTGTAGTTTCTAGTTATTTATATACGTGTTAGAATTCTAGTTATTTATGCATATATTATATATATTTGTACATATATTTATGCATATATACAAATAACAAACTTTGTATACGTAGTTGTCTGCATACAGTTGCTTCCCTATATTCAATGAATTTATATTAATTACTTGGTTTTGTAGCATACAAGAAAGAAAATGAGTGAACTGTATACCATAAGGATTCAAAATAGCACCTTACTATTGCCAACATTGGCATGGCAAACTTGTGAAGGAATTCCCTTTGGACTAGGTCCACTAAAAATGGTGTCCAGGGCTAAGGTGAGTGCCTAAACTGCCTTTTTCCCAGAGGACTAGATGTTTCCTCAAAACTGGCAAACTACTATCAACAGTAACCCTCATCAAGGACATTGGTAGTATTTTTAAATGGTTAGTTTTCTGTGTATATTTTAGTGCTTATAGACCGCAATTCCAAATTGACTGCTTTCAGTATATCATTTTACGCGGTTGATCTATAATTCATTACCTGAGCACACCAGGGGAGGCAGTGTTGTGAACTGTAACTGGTAAGCTACTTGGTGAAACCAGGCTTTGTATTTTTAATGTGTTTAATTATATTTAAAATCAAGGAAGGCTTAGGGTTGTGCCTGGTTTTCTTTGAAAATATGGATTTGTTATCTAAGGGTTGCAGTTGATGACGTTTTGATGTCATATTAATATGTTTGCTGCTGCTACCAAGAGCTTTGTCAAGCAAGTTGGAGATGGAGGGAGATTAGTTCCTGTTCCAAGCCTCAGTGAGGCTGACAAATACCAACCTCTAAGTCTGGTGGTAAAAAAGAAGCGATGCTTTTTCTTTCCCAGATATAAATTTACTTCAACACCTTTTACACTGAAAGATATTCTTCTAGGAGACAGAGAAATTTCAGCTGGTAAGTTTTAATGTCTATTTCAGAGCGACTGCTCATTGGCTATATTACAACAATCTAAACAGGTTGTATGTACTACTTATTTTGTAATATTTACACATTTTCATTGATAAAAGCAACTTATGATGGTAGTAATAAGATTAATAATATCTAAAATTTGTATAGTATCAAATCTTATTGGTTGAATAATTTTCCAACATATTTTGTAAAATCTTTTATTGTATAATTTTATTTCACTTATCTTATAGATTGTTTTGACCAAATAAACTTAGAGTATGACAAAATAGATTATAGATTTCATCTATAAAATGAGATATGACTTGCCTATTTACATGGTCACATGAGATGAAACTAATTTACATTTATTTCTTATGGCTCAGTTATTGCAGTTGGTAAACTGAAATGTATCTTATTGTCATGTGTTACTCATTCCCAGTCCACCTTAACTAAAAGTAAATCCAGGCAGGTCTAATACAAATTACAAAGTATGCTCAAAAGCCATTAACAATCTGCCTCTCCTTTCTGTTTTCTTAAAACAGATTAGAAAACAAATTGACATTTTGGCAAAGTGTTTCTTATAAACACTTGTTTTTCTTTCAACCACTCTGTGGATATTAAAGCTTATAGAGTTCTGTTGGTGGAACGAAGAACTTGAGTTCTCTTTTAAGTACTCTATTTTTGTTGTCAAATTAATGTTATTTTAAATCTTGGCTTGACACGTTGCCTTTCTCAACATGTAACGTGTCTTCTTCTCAACGTGTGATGAAGTCTTACATAGTAAATTAATGCATTACTACATATAACATATTAAATGAATTCAGGACATTTAAAAAATATTGATTTCCTTTTCTTAAAGGTATTTCATCTTATCAGTTACTGAATTATGAAGATGAATCAGATGTTTCACTCTATGGAAGGCGAGGCAACCATATTGTGAATGATGTTGGGATTAATGTCACTGGATCAGATTCTGTTGCAGTGAAAGCTTCATTTGGTGTGGTGACCAAACATGAAGTGGAAGTATCGACATTACTCAAGGAAATTACTACACGGTCAGTAGAATAATACTTAATGTACTTGAGTGTTTACATAATTATGATATTTAACGAAAACTTCGTTATAAACAATGCTTAAAACATTCAGGTTCTGTATATTGTCTAATGTAATTTAATTCTTTCATTTGATTGAAATACTACAAATTAGCAATATATCCAGGCTTTAGATAAGGGTGGATATCCAAAATCATTTGGTTTAAACAGAATTTTTGATTGTTCCACAGAATTGCTTTGGTCCTAAATTGCTCCAAAATTGCTTTGGTGCCAAATTATCAGATGAAAAGAATGTACTAATCTGCATGCAACGAATATACTAAGGGGGTCTCCTCCAACAGAATCCTATAATAAGCATGTTTTAAGAAAACAGAAAGGAGAGGCAGATTATTAATGGCTTTTGAGCATACTTTGTAATTTGTATTAGACCTGCCTGGATTTACTTTTGGTTAAGGTGGACTGGGAATGAGTAACACATGACAGTAAAAATGTACTTGATGATATGTAATTAGATGTGACAGGTTCTTGTGAATCTTTTTTTTTTTTTTTTTAGAAAAATTAATTTTGACCACAGCTTGATACGTCAGACAAAAAGCAGCAGAAAGGCAGTATTGTGTGTGGTCATGGAAAGCATTCGAACCACACGACAGTGCTCCCTGTCTGTGCATGCTGGAATTCGTGGGGAAGCCATGCGGGTAAACCACACTCATTAAGTTTCTCTTACTAAAAAGCTGCAATGGGAATTTTTACATAGTACTCAATTTCTAATGAGACATGTGTATTTTGTCAAATGTTGAGATTAAAGAGCTGCAAGTGTATATAAGATTTTGCACAGTAATGGTTTTGTTTGAGAGTTTTAAAAAAATCCAAGAAAATTTGGATTCTAAATGTGGAACATAATGCAAACAAAACGCTAATCCTTATGAAATAACTTACACTGAAGTCTCTCCTATTGTTATTTAAATGAAGTTTTAAGAATGCTTATGTTGGGGCGCCTGGGTGGCGCAGTCGGTTAGGCGTCTGACTTCAGCCAGGTCACGATCTCGCGGTCCGTGAGTTCGAGCCCCGCGTCGGGCTCTGGGCTGATGGCTCGGAGCCTGGAGCCTGTTTCCGATTCTGTGTCTCCCTCTCTCTCTGCCCCTCCCCCGTTCATGCTCTGTCTCTCTCTGTCCCAAAAATAAATAAAAAACGTTGAAAAAAAAATTAAAAAAAAAAAAAAGAATGCTTATGTTGAATTCTTGATTTTATTTTTTAATGATTTTTTAAAATGTTTATTTTTGAAAGAGAGAGAGCATGAGCAGGGGAGGGGTAGAGAAGGGAACAGAGGATCTGAAGCAGGTTCTGTGCTGACAGCAGAGAGCTCGATGTGGGGCTAGAACCCATGAACCATGAGATCATGACCTGAGCTGAAGTTAGATGCTCAACCGACTGAGCCATCCAGGTGCCCCTTGATTTTATTTTTAAGTGATGTACTTTATACTTGAATTTTTAAAAGTTGATTTTATATTTTTATTTTAAGTTTTCTAAAATAACATTGTCAATGGCCAAACATGCCTCATTCAATGTTAAATACTTTTAAAAAACCTCTTGGAACTTGTTTTTAGTTTTTAAAAAGCTCCGTATTATTTGTCTTTGTCATTCACATAATAATGACACATAATAACTTGATTGGTTTTATTAAAACCATTGTTAGGGTTCAGTGAAAAACTTTTAAGGTCTTTGCAAATAAAGGTTCTGTTCAGTGGCTATGTTTAGCTGCCTACTGAATTGTTTAACATTGGATCATTTCAGGGGCACAAACTGAAACATTTAATTGTCGGAGATAACTTTGGAAAATAAGTTGATGATTGCTTTGGAAAGCTGCTGAAAACTCTGGGGGCTTTAGAACAATAGACAGGGTAGGCTAAAAACAACTGTAGCACTTAAACAGTTGGTTTGTGGTTGAAAAGAAAAGGTTTCTATGTTAGAGAGCATTATTGTTGTAGCACTAAGTGCCAGTGTTAGTGAGAAAGTGGTGAGTGGTATTTCCTAGATCATGAGACCCCATTGGACCACTTGGACCTCTGGTTTAAACAGTTAAATTCAATGGGATAATTTGTTTTTAAGTTTGAATTATTTTATTAATTTTATTATTTGTTTTTGAATTTACATCCAAATTAATTAGCATATAGCGCAACAATGATTTCAGGAGCAGATTCCTTAATGCCCTTTACCCATTTAGCCCATCCCCCCTCCCACAACCCCTCCAGTAACTCTCTGTTTGTTCTCCATATTTAAGAGTCTCTTATGTTCTGTCCCCCTCCATTTTTATATTATTTTGGCTTCCCTTCCCTTATGTTCATCTGTTTTGTGCCTTAAAGTCCTCATGAGTGAAGTCATATGATACATGTCTGTCTCTTGACTAATTTCGCTTAGCATAATACCCTCTAGTTCTATCCACGTAGTTGCGAATGGCAAGAGTCATTCTTTTTGATTGCCAAGTAATTAGTTTTTGTCTTAATGGTAGGATTGTATGAACTGTTTTCTTCAAGAAGCTGTCTTTATGTGTTATGCTCCTTAATAATGTTATTTATTTATTTACTATAGTTTCATTTTATGGATGAACAGAATCCCAAGGGAAGGGACAAAGCTATTGTTTTTCCAGCACACACAACCATAGCTTTCAGTGTTTTTGAACTCTTCGTTTACTTGGATGGTGCCTTTGGTAAGTGAATGATTTGCACGAAACGCTGAAATGATTATATTTTTAAGAATTTAATGGGAAACACACACATACATTCTCTATGTGACTGTAGAAGAATGATACTCTCAACACTGTCAATCATATGCTTGGGTAAAGTAGCTGGGAAAGACCCTCTGTCTTTATTCACCCACTACCTCTTTTCTGCCTGGTGAAAGCTGCAGACACCCCCCACCCAACTTGCAATTATAGATAAGAGCTCAAGTGCAATGCCATTGGCAAAGTATTCCTTGAGTTACATAGAGAGATAATAAATGACCTTCTAATAAGTAGTTTTTGATGATGGCAAATAGAGGAGTGGGTAGACAAGATGCCCGCAGGGGTCAGTGCCCAAACTAGGGTACCCAAAGACAAATTCTTTTCAGTTTTACCTACCATAGACCAGCTTCACCCCGACTCTCTCTAAAAAATAACTTTAATACAAATACTTGCCTTAAAATTGTCTTTATATACTTTATACAATACTTTATATACCTTACATGATACCTCAGTGCAGTTCACTGTAGACCGCTAAATTTCACAGGTCTTTAAGATTAGGAGGCCAACCAGCTCAAAGCACTAGGCGAGGGAGCCCCCTAACCATGGTAATTTATAAACATTTGTAGACCTGTTTTTGTTTTTGCAGTTCTGTGGGAAGAGGGAATAGGGAATCCAGAAATGTGACAAAACATGCTACTTACAGCCTATTTGGGACGCTTCAGATGTAGGTTTTTACCGTTATTGTGATTGTTAGGAGCAGTGTCAACTGATAGAACTGATATATCCATCAAATGTAAAATGTGCACATCCTACACTTTTAGGAATTTATCCTACAGATATACATATGCAAAGTGATATAAGGATATTCAATTTGTAATAGCAAAAGATTGGAAATACCCTTAAGATCTACGATCAATAACTAGTTTAATAATGATGCATATCCACAATACAGAACATTATGAAGCCATTAAGAAGAATGACGTAGCACTAGGGACCCTGACATGGAATCCTAAGAGATATTTTAAATAAATGTGTGTAGTGTTTAACTATTTGAGCCTAAACAATTTTATGTGCATACATACATCATGTATATTCCTTTATGCTTGTAAAATATATGGAGTATTTGTGGAAGTATACTCAAGAAATTTAACAGTGGTTACTTCTGAGGTGGAAAACTGAGGCTGGGATCCAGACTAGATGGAAACTCATCACTGTATCCCCCTTTTGTTCTCTAGATTTTGTACCATGTGAATGTTAGCTTTTCCAAAAATATAGAAAATTTAACTTAAAAAATACAGTGAATGACATGTGCCAGAATTCATCAACCCCAACTAAAACTCCCAATAAAATGTGAGTTGTTCCAGTAATAACATCTAAAAATTTTCTTACAGACCTTTGTGTCACTTCAGTGTCAAAAGGAGGTTTTGAAAGGGAAGAAACTGCAACGTTTGCGCTGCTCTACAGATTGAGGAATATACTATTTGAGAGAAGTATGTCCGTTGAAAAGTATTTCAATTTTTTTTTTTTTTCCTTCTCAGATTAACACTTGAGTTTATCTGTTCAGTACTCCTGTCTGCTAAGGAAGAATTACAATCTAAAAGTAAAATCATTTCATGACTGATGGTTTAGATTCACGTATTTATAAATGCACTTTGGTTATATATTTTTTATTTGACCTGTAACACATTTCTGTTTTTGTGCTTTTAGATAGAAGAGTGATGGATGCCATTTCTCGTTCACAGCTTTACTTAGATGATCTTTTTTCTGACTACTATGACAAACCTCTCGGCATGACTGATATTTCTCTCAAAGAAGGGACTCATATCCGAGTTAACTTACTTAATCACAACATTCCAAAAGGACCTTGCATACTCTGTGGAATGGGGAACTTCAAAAGGGAGACAGTTTATGGGTGCTTTCAGTGCTCCGTCGATGGGCAGAAGTATGTGAGACTTCATGCAGTTCCTTGTTTTGATGTTTGGCACAAGAGGATGAAATAAAACAAAAATAATGAACGTACCTTGCTAGTGTTTTAGGTGCACCTGTGCCACACACCTTTCCAAAATTTTCTAGGTTTGCTTTGATGAATTGTGGCAAAGTAAAGAGGGAGAGGAAAGAGAAATTAACCTGTTTGGGCATCATTTTCTTCATCGATAAAAGGGAAGATAATAGTTTCTATCCTATAAATTGCCATAAAGGTTAACATTGTTTATGTGAAAAAGGTTTAAATATTCAAAACATAGCGATTCCTTCATAAAATCTGCCAGTTACTTTAGAAGTATACTTGGGAATTCAGTCTATCATCTTAACTTTACACAGCGATTTTTCTCAATATCAATTTTAGTTTTAATTGGCTTTTAAGTCAACATTTAAGAATGACAAGAGGTTAAATGTGGTGACTTTATGGTGCCTTACCCACTGCCTTAGGTCTGGTAAAATGAGAAAAATGTGTTAATAATTTAATGTAATCCTAAATATTTAATTGCGGTATCAAATTAAAAGCACACTGAGCTCAGTGTGGGGTTTTGTGTACACAGTTAACAGGGAGACTGTTAGTGGTAATGGGCTGCTGTCCTGTATCATAAACATGCTCCCTAGTTTTGTCTTTATAAAAACTCACTGCTGTCAAGGTAAGGCAGCTAGAAAAAAAAAATAGTTAAGGCAACTAGGACACCTTTATCTTTCACCTTTGAAAATGTTTAAAATATTTAACATATTTAGTTCTGAGAGCTCATTTTCATCTACTGTGTAAGACATCTGAAATTTTTCATACACAGACAACCTAAATTATTAATTTACTCAACACCCTCATTAAAATAATTGCAAAAGTGATATTAAAATTCTAGAACTCAAAATGTAGTGATACTAGGTATCTACTCGTATATGCCTGTGAAAGCATAAAACAATCATGGAAATATAAAACATCTGATGCCTGTCTGCACGTAGAATGATTAAAATGTTACTGTTTACTTAAATGTGACTAGGGTTTTTGAATCAATCTTCATTTAATATCATCTATAAATTTTAAAAACATAAGTTTAAAAGCACTTTGAAAACAATGGGACAGGATAGAATTGTGAATAGTTTGTATAAAGGGATGATTTCCTTGTATATCTTCCTTCCACAGTATTTTTGTTTTGAGCAGAATATGTGAGTCAAGTGCAAATACGAGTATACTGATGGCAAAATATTCTAGTGACTTTTTTTTTTTTTTTAATTTTTTGTTAACGTTTATTGATTTTTGAGACAGAGAGAGACAGAGCATGAATGGAGGAGGGTCAGAGAGAGGGAGACACAGAAGCTGAAACAGGCTCCAGGCTCTGAGCTGTCAGCACAGAGCCCGACGCGGGGCTGGAACTCACGGACCGTGAGATCGTGACCTGGCTGAAGTTGGCCGCTTAACCGACTGCGCCACCCAGGCGCCCCTCTAGTGACTTTTTTTGTATGGATATAGATAATGGGAGTTGTTTCCAATGGAGGTTTTCCTGAGGGAAGTCAAAGAACAAGAATTCGCGATTAGCAAGTAAAGAGTTTACAAAACCGGGTACAGGCATGAAGAACTGGGAGGAAAAGAAGATAGTGAAGGTTTTGGTTTTATGAAGTGTCAAACTCTGTGCTATGTATCTGTGATATCCATTAATCTGGTGATTTTTGTGTTACCCCTGCACTTTTAGGTAATAGAATTTCTGGCAGTGTATCGATGGTTTGGAAAGGGCAAGTTTCAGAAAATGGAAAAAGCTTTGTTTTGAACTCACATGTCTTGAGCAGAGCTATTTACTTCCTGACCATACCTTCCTACATATGCAGTAGGCAAAACCTTACATGTTCCGATAAATAATGTGCCCTTTCTTTGGCACCAGTGTGATCTTCTACAGCATCTCTTACCTCCTGTTCTCAACAAATTGGATGTCATGATTTGACTGTGACACGGAATTGCCATGGCAGTGTATGTTCCCATTTGTATCCTCATTTGATATCCTCACGTATCCTTATGTGTAAAATAAATTCTACACATTTTCAAAAATTTGATGGCATATGAGTTTGTAATGCTCATTCATGATCAATAACAAGAACATTGTAAAATGAAGTGACTGACATAGGCGCCCCGCCATGGCATCAATTTAAGACTATCAAGACAAAACATTAGGGATGATAGATCTAAAGGCCTACAGGAGGCCAGAGGAAATAACACATTTATAATGATGTCTGAAAAAGTACAGACTCAGAGCAGTATAGACTTTATTATGTCTGCTATAAGAGACACAGTCTTTGGTCTGATCAAATACCTTTAAACATTCCCCACTGGAATAATGACCCAAGGCCAGAGCTTGCACCAAACAGTACAGCGACGGTGTTAAGGCTCTCTGTGGGACAGAATTGTACAAGTAATATTTTCCTATATGCATACCAAAGGAAGATTTGTTCAATCCTGTCATTTAAAAAAATTTTTTTTAATGTTTATTTATTTTTGAGAGAGAGTGTGAGCAGGGGAGGGGCAGAGAGAGAGGGAGACAGGATCTGCAGCAGGCTCTGAGCTGTCAGCACAGAGCTCAACACAGGGCTCGAACTCACAAACAGCGAGATCATGCCCTGACCTGAAGCCGGTTGCTTAACCGACTGAGCCACCCAGGCGCCCTAGTCCTGTCATTTTTATATTATCCTTTCATTTGTAATGCTATGAAATGTATCAGCAAGTGAAATGTTAATTCCTGGGTCCTTATTGAATATTTTAAAAATTGGATATGTATACATGTTATTAAAGTTAGAACTGGGAAGAACCTCATCGATTTTGACATAGGTGTTCTCCTATCTCCTGAAGGGGGAGAACTGCCTACTGGAACAAAGAGGTCTATTTCATGGTGCCACTATTCATGTTCACAGGATAAAGCAACCGGAAACAGAATTATCTTTCCTGAAAGTTAAATCTGCAAAATAACACATTTATTATGCCAAAATTACATGTATTGAGGGGATCAAAATATGTTCTCATGGAGGGAAAACAGAAAATACAAGTTCTAGAAAAGTAACTCTTTTATATATAAAGTACAGGAAGTAGCTAAGAAAATTTAGAAATAAAATACACTATAGTTCATCATGTTGATATACATTGTATTCCTTGGAAGAAATGAAGCCATCACCATCATGATCATTCTTCTTAAAAATATCTTCTAAAACTGCATTCTGATATGACTGGTCACGAGGCTTCTCATCTTTTTCAAATTCCCTTTTCAGGTAATTATTTATCTAGAGGGCCAAAATATGTCTTTAATAAAAAAGTACCACAGTAAATATCCAGTAACTTTAAGGAAATGTTTACATAAGGAAACTGAAATCTACTTACAATAAGTGATAAAAAATTGTTAAAAGCTATTTGAGGTTTTATTTTTTAACCTTTAAAGCAATTTTCTGAAAAGAAACATCTTCAAATTAGCTTCCCCTGAGGTTACAGATGTTAGTTGTACATACTCAAAGATTAACATCAGAATTGAATTTTGTTGAAACTTAAGTGTTTTCTAGTAATCTACACTGTCCACATTATGAAAGGAAAATCATCCTTAAGGATTTCTATTAGTGAATAAAATCCAAATTGGCATTTTTATAATCTCTAAAATTAATATATTCTATTATCAATAAAACTCACCCATAATTTTTGAAATAAAATTTAATTTTCTTAATTTTTCTACGTTTCTATAACTCTCCTTCAAATCCATACATATGACAATCTCTATATAATAATGTCAAATAAAGAACAGATATTCTTTTTTTTCTATGTTTATTTTGAGAGAGAGAGAGAGAGAGAGAGAGCACGTGAGCAGGGGAGGGGCAGAGAGAGAGGGAGAGAGAATATCCCAAGCAGGCTCCACACTGACAGCACGGAGGTGACATGGGGTTCGATCTCATGAACCATGAGATCATGACCTGAGCCGAAATCAACAGTTGAACACTTAACTGACTGAGCCACCCAGGTGCCCCTGAAGAAAAGGTATTCTTAAGTATTCTTTCTCTGTATAATATGACATTTCTACTAGCCACATGTGACTACTAAGCACTTGAAATGTGGCTAGATCAAATTGAGATATGCTACTACTATAAGGGTAAAATACACAACAAATTTTGAAGACAACAAAAAATATCTCACTGATTATTTTTGATTTCATGTTGAAGTGGAAATATTTTAGATATACTGAGTTAGACAAAACATACTATTAAAATTAATTTCACCTGTTTATTTTTGTTTTTTAAGATGTGGCTACTAAAAGTGTTTAAATTATGTACATGACTTGTGGCACACAGGTGGCTCAGTCGGTTAAGCATACCACTCTTAATCTCGGTTCAGGTCATGATCTCACAGTTCATGGGATCTAGCCCCACGTTGGGTTGTGCACTAACGGTGTGGAGCCTGCTTGGGATTCTCTCTCTTCCTCTCTCACTGTCTCCCTGCCCACCTCCCCCCACCCCAAGCTGTCTTTCAAAATAAACTCAGAAAAAATAAATTATATATGTGACTCAATTGTATTTCCACTGGCAAGTGCTAATTTATATAATAACTATAGAAAGCAGTGTGTAATAATCTGGAGATAATGTCCAGCAAGGCTGGGCACTTTAAAAAAAAATTTAATGTTTATTTTTGAGACAGAGACAGAGCATGAGCAAGGGAGGGGCAGAGACAGAGGGAGACACAGAATCCTTAGCAGGCTACAGGCTCTAAGCTGTCAGCACAGAGCCCGATGAGGGGCTTGAACTCATGAACCATGAGATCATGACCTGAGCTGAAGTCAGGCATTTAACCCACTGAGCCACCCAGGCATCCCAAGGCTGGGCATTTTAGAGGAAAGACTATTTTTGAAAGCTAAAGTTAAACTCTGAGAGGTATTTAGCAGTACAGATCCCCACTCAATCCATCATGAGTAGACTTTATTTTAGAATGATCAATGGATCTTAATGAAGTATATATAAACTGTTCTCAAATGGGACTTAAGTCCTATTGAGGGAGATACATTTTTATTCCAGTTGAGCCTCAGCAATCCTATGAAGGTGAAAAGAATTTTAAAGAACCTCAAATCTTCCTCAGTTTCTAAGTAAATATACTGACCCTCAAAATGTACTTTTCTAGTACACTGTAGTGGAGAGGTACAAAATGGCAGTGGGTAAGAACATAACCTTAATGTAGTGTATTCCCCTTCTCTCCCACCTTATACTAAGGAAATAATTGACACAATCTGATGATGAAGGGAGGAAGTTTCTTTTAGTTCATATTTCAAATCCTGGTTTTGTCATATACTGGTTGTGTGGTCTTGAACAGATAACGTCTTTGAACCTCAATTCTGTCATCTGTAGAAGGAGGGAAACAGTACCTTTATGGTAGGATTGATGTAAGGATTAGAGTAATATTTATAGATGTCAATAAAAGATAGCTATTGTTATTCAAGCATGTGAAAATCACTCTGACCATCTAGTGATAATGCAGGCGATACCTGAGAGACATCTGGGCAGATGGTAGCTAAGCAGGTCACTGTTTTTGGACTTTCTCTACTTTTATTTTCCCGAAAAAACTAAAGATCTCATAAGGTCTCCTGAGGGAGTGTTCATACCGCAGAACATGCCTTTTTGGGTGCAGTTGATAATGAATGGTCTGTGTGCATAGGCTGAGCTCTTGGGTCCCATGTGAATTCATCTGCTGCTGTTCACTCTACAAGTCATATGGAGTCAACGCAAAGCACATACTGGGATGAATTTTCCAGCCCTCTAATTGTCCTCCTTCTTCAGGAATGGGGTATGTTCACATTCACATATTCCTCTTCCACTGGTGAGCAGCAAAGGACCTTTAGGAAAAGGTCCTTGCTAATACCCTGGAGGAGGAAGTAGCATCAGGGTGGGGGAAGGACTAGGGATGGAGAGGAAAAAAAAAAAAAACCCGAGAAAGGGGGCTTACTTGTCTCCTGAAATCAATGACTCAGGTACCTTTTATCACTTAGGTGGTAGAGCCATGCCTGTTAAACTGTTTTCAAACAAGAGGGCAGAAAATTGGGTTACTCAATTTAAGGCAAAAGGGTATAGTCAGTGAGACTAGGTAAGGCACCAGTCTTCAAGAGTACAAACACTAGCCCTGAAACATCTGTGCTGGAAATTCCCTGAAAGAGGCAGGTTAGGCCATGGTTAAGAGCACAGAAGTAGAGCCAGACTGCTGAGCTGCAATCTGAAGTCACTTACAGTGGCGTGACCTTAGCCAGTTCCTCAACATCATTTCCCCCTTCTCTAAATAGAGATAATGACAGGTGTCTACCTCATAAGTTGTCATAAAGATGATGCTTGCTAGCCCTTTTCAGAATTTCATGTAATCCCCACAATCCTGTGAGGTAGAAATTATTTGCCCTGTTCCAAATTCCTATGGTGGTGCTTGAATGAGATTTGTTCCTGTAGTCTAGAAACTGGGGATGCCCTGTAGAAATTAGCTTGGTATTTTAATGACCCTCTGGCAGGGAGAAAGGCAGCTGAACAGGATGACTCAGTTACAAGTTTTATACTCAAAAAGCACATTTTCTTCTTGGAGCTTAGATTTTTTAGTAACCAGCTCTATTTTGTTTCAAAGTTTATTTATTTTGAGAGAGAGAGAGCAGGGGAGGGACAGAGAGAAAGGGAGAGAGAGAATCCCAAGTAGGCTCCTCTCTGACAGCACGGAGCCCCATGTGGTGCTCAAACCCAGGAACTGTGAGATCGTGACCTGAGCTGAAATCAAAAGTTGGACGCTTAACCAACTGAGCAACCCAGTGGCCCCTTAGTAATCAGCTCTATTAAAAGCAATGTAATCAGCCCATGCTTGGTAGAGCTAGAAAATAACAGCTGTAACATGGATGTCTTTAAATTGTGATTGAAAAAACGAGACTGTACACGTGGAACTTAGTTTGAATTACCTCAGTTTTAGAGAGTTGCCTATCATTGTCCATGTCTATCTGTTTAAATGTTTCAATGCTTCGTGGTCCTTTGGTCACAGCATAAAGTTCAATCTCAAAAATCAATGTTGCATCAGGTGGAATCTTGCCTTCTGCTAAAGGTATAATTTTTAACAGTTTAACTGATGAAGATAAAGTTCACATATTTATTCACAAGTAGCCATTATAACATCATGATTATATTATTTCATATTTATAAAAACTACCTACTTGGCTTACTTTTAAGGAGGTATTTTCCATGTTTTTAAACCAAATCAGTTCTAAGGACCTCATGGGCCCTTATTTCCTGGTTAAATTAAAATATAGATTGTGTAATTTTTATTAATTTACCCCATCATTATACAGGAGGGAGCTGGTGCAGAGAAGAAATAAATGGGCAGAAAAATTTCAAAGTGTAAATCAGTAATCTTTTAAAAAATGATATTGTATAGTTATTTGAAAGCATAAATAAAACATTTTTCCATAGACTTATCTTTCCACCCCTTTACAGACATCAAAACATAAGTGCAATGACAGAATAATCCAGTAACAATTTTATGAAACAATTTCTAATCATAATAAAGAATTTTAAGTATTAAGTTAAGTAGTCCTCTTTAATAAAGTTAACCTATTAACTGATATCACAGATGATTTTAACAACCTATGGGCTATTTCAGATGACTGTTTCATAAAAATAACCTACTGAAATGACTTGCTAAGAGGCAGCAGTTAGCTTGTGTCACCAGGATATTCCAGAGTCTACCAGGGTCTCATCCATTATAGGCAGTCAAATATTTGTTGAATGAATGATCCCTCTGGTTTATTTTTAAAATGGCTATTTGTTCTTTGAAGGAAATAGTGATTTCTTTAATGAAACAGTGAAGAATTCTTGCTAAAGTATTTATATAACCCAAAGAGAAAAGAACTTGAAAGTTATAGCCGAAAGAAGTGAATCAGTCATCTTCAAAGCCAAGACAGAAAAATCTACCTCTGCATCATCACGTGACTAATGAAGTCCCACGTAATATATCACATACCTGACATTAGAGTAAAAGAGCTACAGATTAATTCCATGATCAGTTTTACAAAATCCATTCCTATTCTGTCCAGTTACAATCTCCTTATGACAGGAAAATAACTAATCATAATAATTAAAGATAACCTCAAACACAAATTCAACTTAAGAAAAAATATTGCACGTACATATGAAGTTTCTGAATAGCTCTGCTGTAAAAGCAGAAAATATTGCCAATTAGGTTTTCTCTTACAAAGAAATTAGAGCAGAAAGAAAATGAAAAAGGTAAGTTTGCTATAGAATGACTTGTATTTAGAGAAGCAAATCAAAGACACAGGAGTTAATGTAAAGAATCTATACATACCACATGTACTGTTAATTAAAGTACTAAAAAGTCACATGCATTTCAAGACATGCAAGGGTGCTCTGTGACATGAAGCAAGGATACCGTGCAGAGGGAAGCCTTCTTCAAGTACTACCTAAAATAAAGTTATAGCTGGTGTTAGTAACATAAGTAACTTATGCAAGTAACTTAAAAATGAGTAATAACTTATTTTAAAAAGCTTATTTGATCAAGAAGTTGTTTGTTAAGCAGTTACTTACATCTTCACTACATCTTTTAAGTACTCTAATCCTACATATCAGGCAGGTAACCAGCAGTTAAGTATGCTCCAAAGAACATACTTTTGTTGGGCCTCAGTTTCCTTATGTGTAAAACAAGAGTGTTGGTGGTGTTACTAATGAGATTCATCATTTTTATGTGTATTGGAGAAACCTCAAATTAAATATGAACTAACTTCTTCAAAGTTAAACTTGTGTATCTCTACAGCAGGGGTCTGGTTTATTCATAGCTTAGGCAGCCAGGGTAGTCATTCATAGTTAAGCATAAATTAGTTTCAGAAAAGGAAACCTAAGTGGTCATTTGCTGAGGGGTAAGGGGGCTCAGTAGGATGGATGAGCACCTATTGATGAGGATGTGGTTAAAATGAGATTAAAGAGTCTGAAAGGCATACTCTGCCTATATCATTTTGCCTCGAATTGGCCTTGACCTATGACAATAATTGTGGACAAGTATTGCATTCAATTTATCTCCAATTTTTTTTTCTCTCCCTCTCCCAGATTCCTCTATGACTAAAAACAGGATATATAAATTGTGGTTCCATGGGAGCTATTTTGATGGGACCAAATGATTGGCCAAAAGCATCGAAAATGAAGTTGGAGTTACATGGAACTGTCTCTAGGAGTTTTAAGTCTGGGTCGGCCTTGCACCACTGACATGTTTCTAGTCCACTTTGGTGCAGTGATCCCCTGCTCTTACTGGAAAGAGGTGAGGGAATTACTACTATTAATGAGGTAACCAAACAGCCTCAAAGAGGTTGTGCCATTTCAATGAAATATTTGGGAGTAATGACAGTATCTCATCGTAGAAAACTAATCTTTAATGACTTTCATTATATACTAAGTATTTTAAGTAGGTGGGGTTAGCAAGTGTTCTAAATAGCCTGAGGAAGGAATGATTCTGTCTTCCTAGTCTTTACACAGCAACAGGGAGCAAGGACCTAACTGAGAATGCAAAGTAAAAACTGCCTCTGCCAAGCTGACCATTTTCCCCTTTTAAAAACTGTCCCTCTTTATTTAGCTCCACCTTTAATTTTAGTAATTTAAAAGATTTTCAATTTTTGAAAAATTGATACATATGCATGGTAAAAGATTTAAATAGTACAACATACTACAGGGTAAGAAGGAATCTCGTCACCCTTGACCCTCAGGTTTCCTTCTCAGGAACACTTAATGTCGTCAGATGACTGTGTATCCTTCCACATATAATCTGTGTAGATACATGATGCATATGTGAAAACGCCCCCCTCACACGTAAGCTCTTTGAGGATAGGAAATTGTTTCTTCTATGTATGTTGCCTTATGCTCAGTGCCTAGAACTGGCCCTGGCAGTTGATGCTCAAGAAATACTTGTTGCATGAATACGTTCTATCCCATTTTATTTTTAACATACTAATACATATGGCTCTACTGCATTCTTTTTACTGGCTGCATCATAATCCATTGTATAGATATGCCATAATTTAACTAAAATAATTCCTTATTAATGGATACTCAGGTAGTTTCCAGTCTTTTGCTACCGAATAAAAGTCTGTATGAATGGTTTTTTATATATACCTTTGTGTACATTTCTATAAATGGAGCTATTGGGTCAGAGGATATGTGCTTTTAAATTTTGATAGAAATTGCTAGCAAGGTCACATCATTTATATTCCCAGCAATAAGGCATGAGACTGCTGGTGTTTCCATACCTGTGCCAACTTTTATGCCTTTGATAATCTGATGAGTGAAAATGGTGAATCACTTTGTTTTAATTTCCCTTTAATTATTTATGAAACTAAGTACTGTCATAGATTTACAGGTTATTTGTATTTTTTTGTTAGTGGGCTGCTTGTTTATGAACCTATCCATTTCTAGGGCTAGGTCATTTTTATTATTCGTTAGTAAGAGTCTTCATAATAGTTGCAAACATTTTCCCCATTTACCAGCTCTTCCCAGGTTCTCAGGTCTAATTGTGAGATTTCAAATAAGATATTGAAGCAAGCAGTTCATTTCTTCTACATTTCAAGGCTTCACCTGAATTTGGGTACCAGTGACTGACAGTTGTTATATTCAGATGTTCTTTTTTTCTATGTTCTAGTACTGTCCTTTTACTCTAAAATCATATGTTTCAGTTTCCTGAGTTTTATAAATTTGACTTTGGTACTGCTTACCAAAGGCATATACTATAGACATTTATGTAATAATAAAATAACATATACTAAAATACATAAAAATGACAAAGGCAGAGCCTATAGAATATACAGGATCATTATGAGTACTGCCATTATGTGAGGGAAAGAACTCGCCAGAGATCTGTCTCCCAACAATGTCTTATTTTCATTCTATGTAAAAAGTGGGGACCAAGCTGGTCTGGACTAGATACAGCTAAAGTTTATTGGACCCAACAGTTCTGTAAATATTTCCTCTGTGATGTTTTATTTGTTTGTTTTAGTGATTCAAAAGTTTTTAATTGTGGGATATACATGTAACAAATAGTTACCACTGTCACCATTTTAGGTTCAGTACAGTTAAATACATTCACATTGCTGTGCAACCCAATCTCCAGAACTATTTCATCTTGCAAAGCTGAAACTTTACATCCATTAAACAACAACTCCCTATTCCACCCTCTTCTCAGCTCCTTCTTTGAATTTGACTATTCCATGTGCCTCATATAAGTGCAATCATACAATATTTGTTTTTGTGATTGGCTTAGTATAATGTACTCAAGGTTCATCCATGTTGTAGCATGTATCAGAATTTCCTACCTTTTTAAGGCTGAATAATATTCCACTGCATGTGTATATATGTTGTTTATCCATTCATCTGTCAATGGATATGGGTTATTTCCACTTTTTGGCTATTGTGAATGGTGCTGCTATGAACATGAGTATACAAATATCTCTTCTAGACCTTGCTTTCAATTCTTTTGGATATATATACCCAAAGCTATGATTTACTTATTTTTTAGCTATGATTTATTTTTAAATATAACTTAAAGATATAAATATTAAAATACTTTACCATAACCTTCCTTTCCATATGCAAATGAAGGGGGTATAATCACTTTTCGCTTCTCTCCAGGGCACATATCCATCATCGCAATGTCTAGGCCTTTTATGACTTGCCCAACACCAAGAACAAACCATTTGGGGTGGCCTTCATTTTGTGTGCGGCTATAGTAAAAAAAAAAAAACAACACTTAGGTAAACTGATTCTAAGATCAGTGAAATCAAACTTTAAAATACATCTGGACATTTAGTTATAATTTAAAATAGGAGTCCTCTCTGACTCTTTTCCCACATTAACACTCATTCTGAACCCCCTGGTGGAGTGTTTGGCTCAAACTTCTTTCATAATAGCCAGAAAGAAGTATGATTTGCCCAAAGCTAGTCATTAGGAACCATCTCATCTTTTTTATTGCCATCTTTGCAGAAATGATTCAACAGTTACTTTTTTAATGGGTCTCTGGCCACTAACTAGCTGCATGGCTTGTCCAAATAACTCATTTAAACTTTCTGAGTTTGTTCTAAAAATGACGGTACAGGTTTAGCCTCAAAAAGTCATTTGAACAAAAATTAAAATTTGTATCTTTACTTATTAAATTTATCTATTTTCTTCTAATATTTATTTTATTTTTGAGAGAGAGATATACAGAGTGTGAGCAGAGGAAGGCCAGAGAGACGGAGACACAGAATCTGAAGCAGGCTCCAGGTTCTGAGCTATCAGCACAGAGCCTGACACGGGGCTTGAACTCAGGAACTGCCAGATCATGACTTGAGCCCAGGTTGGATGCTTAACCAATTGAGCCACCCAGGCGCCCCAATCTATTTTCTTCTAAGTACTAAGAACTTTCTCCAACCCTATCTTCATAGGATAATAGCACAGATGAAGAAAAGCCATTCTCCTTCTGAGTAATAAATGATCAATTAAATCAGAGTAGGCAGTGGTGAGATGAGGGAGGAGGTGGGAGAACACAGGGCCCAGAAGACACCAGGGAAGGTTATTGTTGTGGTTTTTTAATACAGTTGCAAAGTGGCCCTCAGCCTGTAAGTGTCGTGCCTCTGAAGGCCAGTTAAAATCACTTAAACTACCCTACCTAATACTCTGTAAGGAGACTCCAACATACGGAGAAAAAAAAAAAAAAAGTGAACATCCTTACAGACAGCTCCATAACTGACTTCTACAGATCCCAGGGGTGGGGGCGGGGGTCGGTGTCTGGAGGTAGTGTATTTCCGATAATCTCTTGGGCCAACATCATCAATTTAAAAAGTAATAGTTCAATAGGGAACTAAGGCATATCAGTAGGAATCCCCCACCCCCACCCCCGTCCCCCCGGCCCCAGGAATACAAGGCTCAAACCTTACTGTTACAAGAACAAACCAATCAACCAACCACTTAGGCTTCTGGTTGGTAGAGAGGGAGGCTAGTTTTCATGTATCAACTGGATGCGGGAGTAGTTCACAGCATTTCCTACCTGCAGTAGAATTTCGAACCGTCTTTAGCCAAGTAGCCGTCGTAATGGGCATTTAGCAGGTCTCCCTTCTTGCTTGTCTTGGAACAGTTTTCTGGACGATGCACAACTTCTATTTTCACTTCCTCTGTGCTCTCCTCTTCCTTTTGTCCCTGAGCCCCCCAAATGCCCCATACATAAAAGAAAACGATTAACCTGAATAAAAACTGCATGATTCCTGAAATTGGCCCCAGATGACAACTGCGTTCCTTCACGCGTGTCACTTGCTTCCAGAGGCAAAGGCAGCCCAGTTCCGACTCGTGGCAGGCATTGTTCTACGTCACAAAGGGCCGGGGGCGGGGCGGCCGATGGCTCCGCCCCCTCCGGGTTGCGCGCTTAGCCTCAGAATTTTCTTCCGTCCGGCGAGGTCCTGTCCCTCTGGTACTCGGCGCTTTAGATGGCTGTCATCAGTCGTTGAAGCAGTACTGAGCACTTGCACCGCTTCTCGTTAAATATGCACATTTTACAGCCGGTTTCCTCAGAGTTCTGTAGTAATGCTCGCATTTCCTAAAATGAAACCGGCAAAAGAAATAAACAGCCTAGGAGTGGGATGTTGTAGCTAGAGAATACGGATGTCATTTTTGGGAGTAAAAGGTTTCTCCTCAGACCCCTAGGGAACAGCGGGCATCTGGCGAGGCAGTCTGCTTCTGCGGTGTCCTTGAAAGCACCTTCTCGGGGTGGAGTCATGCCTTAAGAGGTTCCAGGCTAAGCCTCATACAATCTGACCGCCACCTGGTCGCGAGTCAAGAAAGGTCCCGCTGCTCCTCGCCCCTTTAGATGAGTTTCCCAGGAGTCAACTCCCGCGGTTTGGGCGGGGCTGCTAGTTGGCGCTTCTTTCCCCCACCGCTCGGGGGCCGCCGTTCATGTGAGGGCTCTGGGGAGTTGAGGAAAACTCTTGATGGTGACCCTTTTCTTACCATCCACGGTACACAGATGAGAAAATGAAGTAATTTTAGTATTCGGCTTTTCCCCCAAAAACCTAATACGCAGCAGGGATTTGTCCAAGTCTGACACAAAACCACCCTTCATCCCACCCCCAAACATTTTAGGATGAAAACTTTCAAACATACAGAAATACTGAATTTTATTACCTCATCGCCGCGGCCTTCCAACCACCACTTGGAGTCTATCGTTAACATGTAACTATATTCGATTTATTATCCACCCATCCATCCATCCATCCATCCATCCATCCATCCAACAACTCACCTTATTTCCAAGGGAATACCCAAAGACTTTTTACCCAAATCAGAAAAGCTTCAGCACAGGCCTGGATTCGGTTCGGGAAAGAGAGGTGTTACTCTATTTGGTGATGCTAAGCAAAACTGCAGCACTGAGCTTGCTTTGCTTAAAGATCCAGCATTTAGTAAACCTGATTATTGTCATTAGGTAAGATGATCATTTCCAAACAGGATTTTTTTAAAATCATAAAAGCTAGGGGAAAGCCCTTATTTCTAGAATAAAATAAATTCCAAAGTTCGGTTCCATGTTTTATATTCTAAATGAAGTAGTGGCTAAGGTTAATTGTCAGCGTGGTGACAGTTCCCCTTGGGGCCCCTCGCGGTTCCTTGCCGGAGGATTTTCAGCGCCACACTGCCTAACTAGGAGATAGTTTCTTGGGCCCCCTGAATGTGAGGAGGGTACGAGGGAAAGATAAACGGGTAATCTTTTATTCTCCTGAAACACCACCACCGGAAGGACCTGAGGAAAACCCGAGAGGCCTACGAGACGTAGGGACTTGTGCTCCTGCAGCGAGTCCTCGGGTCGGCCGGGGGCTGCGCGCGCCGCGGAGTCCGCCTGCCGGGCTTAGGAGGCTTTAGCCCCGGGGCACGGTCGGTCCGAGCCTCCCCGGGGATTGGGGTGGGGGGGGAGAGAATGTGGGGAGCCCCGGGACCGCCGGCCGAAGGCCAGAGGAAGAATGAGGCGGAGTCAGGTGCCCAGGCTGGGAGGCCAAGGGTGCGCCGCGCCCGCCGGCCCCCTCACGCAGCCTCCGGCACCGCGGCTGGGCTGCAGGCCGCGCCCGCTCTTCCAGCCCCGCCGCCGGGGAGGGGTTTCTTGGGACGAGCCGGCCCCTTTCATCCAGGAAGTGAAAGCGACGTCGGGGTCAATGAAAACAAACGGGGAGCCCGGGGGGAAGGAAGGCGGGCGAGGAGGAGGGAGCGCCGGGGCGCGGGACGGAACAGCCGTGTGGTGGAAGCGCGAGCGGGAGGCCGGTTGCGGTCGTGATCTTGCCGCCGCCGCGGCTCGCCCGGGGATGTCTGAGCCCGCGCCTCGCGGCCCTCGAGCTCCACGCGGCGGCCGCCGTCCCGGCCTCTAAGGGCCGCCACGTCCCGGCGGCGCGCGCAGGCTGAGGGCGGCTCGGTGCCGGCGGGGTTGCCCGGGGAGGGCCCGGGCGGGCCGGGAGGGGCTGCCCAAGCTCCGCGCCTACCCCAGCACCGCGGCCGGCGCCCGGCCAGGAGGATGCGCGGCGCCGGGCTCTGAAGCATGGAGGGGGTTCTGTACAAGTGGACCAACTATCTCACAGGTCAGAGGGCTCGCGTGCTCCGAGGGCGGCCGGGAGAGGCCGGGTGCTTGGGCGGGTTTAGGTGGGAAGGCTGCGGAAAAGACCGTTCAGGGGCCCCTCCCTCTGCCTGGCCTGCGGTGACCCTCGCACGGAACCGGCCCCTTCTGCTTCCGAGGCTAATCCCTAGCTGAGTCCCGTGTTAGATCTGGCGTCTGTAGGGGCGGTTCGAGACTGCGCACCTTCCTGAGGGTGGGAAGTGCGCTTGACCACTTCTTTGCCCCTGTAATAATACTTGTTTCCTCCTGTAGCTTCCGGGACAATTCCCAGTTACTCTGCCCGTGGTGCTGTCTCCATCCTTATTCACACTTAATTCGGCATTTTGCTAATAACTGAGTTGTCAGGGTATAGGAATAGAATGGACCTTGTAAGATCAAGATTTAATTTTAAGAAATCTTTTTTGTATTTCTTTTTAATTTCCTTAGCAACACGGTTTACTTTTAAAAGTTCTCTTGTTGAAGTTGTTCAGCATAGAAAGCATGGTTTTCTGGGAAATCGTCCCCAGATACCATTCTCTTAAAAGGTGGTTGGCAATGAGATATCTTTATATTTTGGAATTCAGGTAAGTGTGTGAGAAATAGTGGAAGACAGTGCAACACACAGAAGTGGAAAAGGCAGGTCAGCATCACCCATGAAGTGGGTTGAAAGGAAAGACTCTGAAGAGCTTTGTGTTTCTGTAGAAATGAGAGGCCAGCAGGGAAGGGTCTTTTTCCACGACACCAACAGCCTGGCTTATTAAAAGAGACTTAATTCTGAGTTGCAGTCCCATCTCTGCCATCATCCAACAGTAAAGACAAGTCACTTACTCTCTCAAGATCTCAGTCTGGGAAGGCCAGGATGAGCAGTTAGTTTATCCTGAAGGGGTCTTCCAACTTCAGAATTCTATGATTTCACCACATTAGACGAAAGGAAATGAGTTTAAAATAAGATTAAATAACAATCATTTCTTGTTCCAGTGTAATAGGAAAATCTTGATTTGCTACCCATTTATTTACTCTGCTCAAAGTACTGAACCCCTTTGTAACTGCATAGTACACTCAACTTGTGTCCACCTGACCTTGTGCAAAATCTGCACATAAACTCTTTAAGGCATAAGCATTGAGCTACAGTTGCCCCTTCCTTCCTTCCCTCTTTTTTTTTTTTTTTTATTAATTGGAATGCTAAAGCCCAATTTATAGCAGCAAATGCTTTAACACTTGTATGCATGCGTGCTTTATTTTGCTCACATTAAAATGTCAAACAGTTTGTTTCTATAAAGGATATATTTTAGCAGGAAACATTTAAAAACGAGGTAAATATTTTTTCTTAAGCATTTCGTTTGGGCAGTTGTGAGAGCAGTTATGCTGTTTAGTTGAGATATGGTATTAACTTTAAAGACAGTAGTTTCTATGCTTTGATAGGCAAATGATCATCTCATGGCACACATTCATAAGCATAGTGTCCACAGTGTCTTGGGAGGAACCACTTATGCCTGCAATAGAGCAATTGGTGATTACTGAGATGAGTCATAATTTATTCCTGGAGCATACTGTGGTCTTGGTGGCCATCTTTCTTATCTCCTCTGGCACTGAGCACTGTAGCCACTTGTGCGCTTAACGCTTTTAGTCTTTGCAGAGCGTTTAAGTAAACTGCTAGTATGTGTTGTAGGAGCTTGCTGCAATGAAATCTTTTGTTTGGAAGAATTCAAATTTAAATTTGACTCTGGCATCCTGATTATTAATTTTCGTTCATCTTAGGTCAGAAGAATGAGCAGCTGTTTGTACTGGATGATCTTGAAGGAACCTTTCAGTTTCATGACAGTGTTCTTTGAGAATCCTTTGTAGAGAACAAGGATTTCAGTAACATTTGGTAGTTTGAGATAAAAAGAAAGTGTTTTGTTTTTTTTTTAAAGAATGCCTATGACTCTTTTTCACAGATATAGCCCTCTGTTATATAAATGTGTGAATCAGTTAGAGATTGTTTTAATTAAATATTTCTTTAAAAATGTGTGTAGAGATAACTTTCTTAATTATTTTAATCTATTTAATCATGGTCACCTTTCAAGTTGCTACAAATTGTTTAAAAATTTTTTTTTAATGCTTATTTATTTTTGAGAGAGAGAGAGAGAGAGAGAGAGAGAGCAAGTGGGGTAGGGGCAGAGAGAGAAGGGGACACAGAATCCGAAGCAGGCTCCAGGCTCCAAACTGTCAGCCCAGAGCCTGACACGGAGCTGGAACTCACATACTGAGAGATTATGACCTGAGCCAAAGTTGGAGGCTTAACAGACAGACTGAGCCACCCAGGCACCCCTAAGTTGCTACAAATTCGAAATAAGTCATTTTACTCATTATTTGTTTTAAAGAGATACTGAATCACAATAATACAGGCTTACAGAATCCCAATTTGTCTTATAGGCACATAGGACCTCGGGTGGCGTGGAGTGTACTTTTACCACCCTGCTTGTAATTTGTTTGCCAAGGTGAATTAGTGTTTGGAAAGATAATGTTTTCATCATTTCTATGCATGCTGATATACAAAATACTCTTGTGGATATATTGCATATCTTTACTGTCATGGATAACATGTAATATCTCACTTTTCTGGTATTTAATCACTTGAGAAATACATTTTGTTTTAGCACCTGTTATGTGCCAGGCACCATTCTAGGTGCTGGGAATGCAGTGACAAACAAGATAAAGTTCATGTACCAAAAGAACTTACCTTTTAATTTGCTAGGCCTCATTAGGGGCTATAGTGTTTCATAATAAGAATTTTCCAAGTATTTAAAACTTGTTTTAATTATTTTGGGTATCCGTCTTTCTGAACTGTATTGTGACATTCCCTGTTGTGAAATTTAACCTTTTTATGATGACTCCATGCTGTCATTTCAAAAGTATTACAGGAAAAGCCTTTGAGGAGATAAGTCCTGGGTCTTATCAGCGTGTAAGAATGATTCTCCCATCTGCCACTGTTCTGGCACTATTTGGCCCTTGAAAAACTGAATTGATTAAGCAGATAGTGGGCTACATCTAATGTGACCAGACTGAATTATGATTTAATAGTTACAGAAAGAACAAGGACAGTCACACTGCCTTCAGTGAGGCACCCTGGTCATGGTCACTGTGTTATTAATCAGTGAACTGTTGTAAATCAGTAGCATGCTTGATAAGATTTTAGGGAACACTGAGTTTGGCTTGCAAGGGTGGCAGTTGAACTCTGAGGAAAGCCATCAACCTCATCCTCATCTTTGCCTGAGAGCCAAGTCTATGATAGTTGTGTGATCTAGTCACTGAATAAACACAAATGAAACGAATGATTGCAGTTTCTAGCATTTCGGCCTGAGTTGGGCAACAGCAGTACAAGGAGAGAGGTATTAGGGGCAATGCAGGCTCTCACTATAGTATGCATCTTCTGTGGAAGAGACTATACTTCATTCAGCACCCACTTGTGCAAGGGAATTTGCCGAGGCAACTTGTAAGAGATGGGAAAGTTGCACTGCAGAATTAGAGGGCTGAGTGGCACCTGAGAGGTCACCTTTTTCAGTCCACTCATTTTTGAGACTGGGAATTTTTTATATTTATTAAAGTGAAAAGATTGGTTTCAGCTTATCTAACTAAAGAGTTAGAATAAAGCGGGGGCTAGAATCCATGTCTTTTAACATTACATCAAAACCCAACTCTGTTCCCTTCAGGAAAAGGGCAGTCATGTTGCATCCAGTATAGGTTATTATTGAGCATGAGTCTCATGGGTTGTTAATGAGAAGGTTGTGAACCAGATTAAAGGTATTACCCCCTATATTTATGCTGAACTATAGATTTCTCCAGAAATCTTTCCCAACAAAGTGGGATTGATGCAAGAACAATTTCGGCAAGGCTTGGCCATTAGAAATTTCATTGTCAGAATGTCACCTTAGAGCCAAGAAAACATGGATGGCAAATTTTGAAATCATACTTTTCTCTGTGATTAAAGTAATTTCTTACTAATCTGTTATTTATAATCTTTGCAGGTTGGCAGCCACGTTGGTTTGTTTTAGATAATGGAATCCTGTCCTACTATGATTCACAAGATGATGTTTGCAAAGGGAGCAAAGGAAGTATAAAGATGGCGGTTTGTGAAATTAAAGGTAAGTGAGTGCATGGAATTAGAGAAATTTGAAGTTAGGTAAGGAAAGCATTCTTCACTACAATGCAAAAAGAGGAAAAAAAGCATTTCTAGTCAGGTAGGGATCTTCTAATGCTGTTTATTTCCTTAGCAATTAAGAGTGGCACTTAACATTGTTAAGCACAGTTGGTTTTTTTTGTTTTTTGTTTTTTTTTTTCCCTCCTTCTATTGAAACTCAAAATCTTAGGGTTAGTTTTCTAACTTGGACCTGAAAAACAATTTTTGTGGTTGCTACTTCAGTGTCCTTATGGAGTCCACAAGTGTTCTCTTTTATACTCATTATGAAATAAGGTATTGTAAAGATAGGAAGCTGAGCTTTAAAGGTGATGAGGTGCGGGGCCTAGCTGGCTCAGTCAGTAGAACATGAGACTCTTGATCTCAGGATCATGAGTTCAAGCCCCACGTTGGGCATGGAACTTATTTGAGAAAAAAAAAATAGTTGAAGATTGTAGAGAGATGGGGCCTAAAGGTGCGGTGACGAGAATTGGAAGCAAGGGGCTAAGACTCTCCAGGAGCCGAAGCACCGGTCCCCTAGCTCGAGCCTCTTTTATTTTTTGCAGTTTGTCTGATAACAGCGAGCACATACAACATAGTATTTGGCATCTGGACAGGTCATGCACCTGCAGTGTATTCCATACTGGGTCATGAGTACATCTAGCGCCAGACAAAACAGTCTTATCCCTGGCCTGGTGCCCATATGATGTCCTTCTGGAGAGACGAGCAGTCCCAGCAGCTTTCTGTTCCTTGCTGCTCTGTCCCTTTCCTTCAGAACATTCTTACAGTGCCTCCAGCTTCTTCTTCTCCAACAAAAGATGATCAGGCAGGCTCTGCAGGGTTTTGCTAAATGAGTCAGTTTTGCTAAAACATGAAGTCAAAGGCATAAAACTCTGGTTCTGAATCGGAGGTCAGCTCTTCTGGGTGATAGAGATGTTTTCCTTTTCTTTCAAAAGAGAAGAACTAAAGCAATAGGTCATGCTGTAATTTTCATGAAAGAAGGTTTCATGGACCATTGATTCATTTGTGTATGTGGTTGGGTTGTGTGGGGTGGAGGCAGGCAGGGGAGATCAGACAAAATGATAATGAAAAGTACTAAGTTCTTCAGAGAATTGAAGGAAAAACTAAAGCACTAGAGGAGCCAATATCAAGCACCTACAGGCCTTTTTCATTTCTCCTCTATGTCTTGAATACTTGTCCTTCATGATGGGTACTTCCTTTGACATGGTGAGTGCTTGGTCACAGCTGTCAAACACTTGAGAGTAATCTTAATGCTCTGTGTATTTTCTTATTTAGATTAAAGCAAAGCAGCAGCTAGTGCATTATCTTATATTTTCCAGGGCTGGATTGCTAGTTTGGTGTAGTTTTGTGGTAGTTCTTAGTACGATTTAGCTATGGAGACAAAATAGAATTTTTCTTTGCTGCACATCTAATTCTTCACATTCGTTTAGGGTTCTTTCCACAGCAGTGATTTATAACTTGGGGTAGATAAGTGTCATGCAGGGAGCTTTCTCCAAAATGCACATAGCTGCCATGTGATTGTAACATGCCCCCTTTAGCTGAGAATTAGTACTGTTCTAATGGAAGGAAGTCATGGCTATCTAAGATACAGAAACACTTCAGCCTAATGTATTGTTATTGCATCGTCCCTGAAATATGTGGGGCATAGTTTTGTTGTTTATTTTAGACAAAAGTACTGAAATGTATACCAATTAAGTATTGGCTTTCCAGGTACTCAGTTTTATATATTTATTTTTAATTGCACCATCATCCCCCATAACTCTTTAGAACTCCTATTTTAGAATTGCCTTATAAACCAGTTTATAAATCACACAAGAAAAGCACAAAGTATGAGTTTTTATTTTTTTAAAAATTGATGGTTTTATCTCATTTTATTCCCCAGATTTGATTCCAAATGATATTTGGTGAGAGTCAGAAATCAAACTACACAGTTCAAAGATTTGCCACCCTTGAGGATATTTAAAAGACTGTTAGTAGCAGAATCCTAAGGCACTTGTAAAATGTTTCAAGATGTGGCAGCATTTTTACTGTTGTTGTTTGTTTGAAGTAATCATTCTATTCAAGAATAAAATACAGAAAAGGGAGCAAATCTTAAATATTCAGTTTGAAGAATGTTTACAAAGTACACACACTTGTGTCAGTATCAACCAGATTAAGAATTAGAATGTTGTCAGCCTTTCGGATACAAGGATATTGTCATGTTTCCTCAGCCATTAATCCCTTTAAAAAGTAACCATTAATTTGACGTTTATCACCATAGATAAATATTGCCTACTTTTGAATTTTTATAGATGGAATAAATCAGTATTTTCTTTTGTGTTGGCTCCTTTCACTCAACATTGTGAAATTCATCCATGTTGTTCTGTGTAATAGTAGTTCAGTCATTCTTACTGATCTGTAGTATTTCTGATGTTATAAATATCCCACAACTTGCCTATTCAGTCTAGTATTGATGTGAATTTTTTTTTTCTTTTTGTTTTTGTTTTTCTATTTGGGATTATAATGAGTAAGTAAAGCTGCCATAAATATTCTTATTATATCTCTTTTGCTGAACATACATATGCATTTCTATTCAGTATATATCTGGAAGTGGAATGGAATTGCTGAGGCATTGATACTCATACTTTTAGCTTTAACAGAATTAAGGAGAAAATTATTCTTGACACTTGCTAATAAGGCTGACTTTATTCAAGTCTCTCATCATAGGTATAGGGACTACTGCATTGGGCTTTGTAGTAGGGGAGAGAGATTGGGCTCAACTCCAAATATGATAAAGAAAAGTGGGAATTTGCAGCCAAGCAGTAGAGTGGGCGGATTGGTGGATGGAAAATTACTAAGAGGAAACATGAGGGATTAGGGGGCATTCTGGGTAAACAGATTCTTGCTGAAGGCAGGCCAGATATGACCTGGGGGATGTTGGGGCTAGAGGAATTTTTTTGGATATTGAGGGTAATCATATATTGAAGGTAGAGGATTCTGGCTAACTCTGACTTAGCAGAGTTCTTACTAAGATTGGACTCTACAAGGACAGAGAAGGAAGCCCAAGGTCGGGCATAGTCATGCAGAGGGCTCAGAGGAGCCTGACTGAAGTTTGATCAAGGACAGAATCTTTGTCACAAGAAATGCCAAACTGTTTACCAAAGTGGTTGTATCAGTTTATTCTTGAACTAGCAGAATATGAGTGTTCCAGTTGCTTTGCATCCTTGCCAAAACTTGCATTATCAGTTTTAAAATTGTGAATATTTTTAGTGTATATGTTGGTATCTGATGGTGGTTTTAACTTGTATTTCTTCAATAACTAATGATGAATAGTTTTTCAGGTATTAATTAGTCATTTGAATGTCCTCTTCTTTTGAAGTGTCCTTTCTAGTCTTTGGCCTAATTTCTAAATTGGGCTGTCATCTTTCATGTTGTTTGTGGGAAGTCCAAATGTGTGTGTGTGTGTATGTGTGTGTGTGTGTGTGTGTATACATATATATGTATATATATGTACACTATATATATATATTCCAAATATATGTATATATGT